GGGGAGGGCAGGTTGGGGGGGGACACAGGAGGTAGGAGCAGCTCTGCTTTCCTGCAGCCTTTCCGAAGGGTCAGGCTGATGCTGAGCAGGGGGGATGGCGAGCAGAGCCCCGGGCAGGGGACCAGGGACAACCTGCTCCATCTCAATCCCTGCCACCGAGTCCCCAGGGTCTGGGGTACCAAGCCCCCAGCTCCCGAGCAGTGTTTGGTGCCCACAGATGTGGAGGGGGCACCTCGAAGGGCTAAAACCAGTCCCTGTTGGTGGACAGAGAGGGGGTGATGGGCACGGGGAGGAGGACCTCCCCAGAATTTATCCCAGTCCATCTGGACAGGGTTCCTTTGCCATGGGTATGATGGCCATGGTGGTTTTGGTGGGCATGGGGCACTGCCAGATGGGCTCCGGGAGGGGTTCCCCAGCACGATGGGACCGTGGTGACCCCCCACCCTGCTCTCCCACCCCCAGCCCAGTTCCCCAGCCTGCAGAGCAAGATGCGGGTGGTGCTGCGGGTGGAGGTGGAAGCCGTCAAGTTCCTCAAGGAGGAGCCGAACCGCCTCGATGGTCTCCTCAAACGCTGCAAGACGGTGACGGACACCCTGGCCCAGATCCGTAGGTGAGCCCCGAGCCCGGTCCCACAGCCCTCCAGCTCTCCTTGTCCCCAAATAATGCCATCTTCTGACCCTTGAGAACCTCAGAGGACACAGCTGGTCCCTTCAGTTGTTCCTGTGCCCCCCCTGTGTGTAGTGTCCTCTCTGTAGAAAAAAGATGTTGAAAAAAGGCTCATTTTTCTGCTAAGGAACTAAAAGATGCCCTCGGTCCTCTCCAGTGTGCATGTGGGAACCCCTCCTTCTAACCTGATTTTTCCTTATTCTTGGAAAAATTGTGGTTGTGTGTCCAGATATAAAGACAATCCGCGTCACGATGAGAAATCTCTTTCCTGAGGAGCAGAAAAATACGTTCTGCTGGAGAAAAATCTTCTTCAAGCTCTAAGGACAGCAGCAGAGCTGGAGGAGTCCACCTGCCTCTTCCCATTAGGAGACCTTTGGGGATGGATTACGGCTCGGCCACGCGGCTCCGGGCTCGCCTGGGGCTCCTTGCCAGCCTGATTTTCTACGGAAATGAGCTTGTATGATCAGGCAGCCTCTGAGTCTGCCTACCTGTCATTCCCTGCACTAATAACTCCTGAATCCAAAGGGCTCTTTCAGGCAGATCTGACGGAGACCCCCCTGGATGCTGCCCTTCATTTTGCTGCTCCTGCAGCCTCCTGTCCCCGTCCTGCCCTTGGCCAAGAGATGCCCAGCGCCTCCATTCGAGGTGGCAGAACTTCTCCCTGATCCCACAGTGACCTGGAGAAGTCGGTGGAGAAGATCCAGAAGGACCTGGCCCACAACCACCGGCTGATCCCTGTGCAGGAGCTGGAGGAGAAGGCGGTGGTGCTCAAGCAGCTGGGGGAAACGCTGACGGACCTCAAGGGTGAGGAGGTGGCTGGGTCTGGGTGGCAAGTGGAGCCTCCATCTCCATCCTCACCCACGGGATGCTCCAAGTCGCTCGTTGCCTCTGGGTTTGGGTGTTTGCAGCTGCCAGAGCGTCCCCCTGTGTCCCCAGGGCAGGTCCCCCCAACACCTTGTGTGTCCCCCTCAGGCTTTGGGCTGCTGTGGGGGTGAGGGCTGCACCCCCCTCCCTTCCTGCCAGCCCTGTTTGCTCTGCTCCCTGCCTGAATCAGTCCTGCAAAGTCCCCTTGAGTCCCCTGGACATCTCAGAGCTGCTGCCTGTCCCTGTCCCGCTGGGGATGTGGTCCTCGCCCACCCCCCTGGATGCTGCCCTTCATTTTGCTGCTCCTGCAGCCTCCTGTCCCCGTCCTGCCCTTGGCCAAGAGATGCCCAGCGCCTCCATTCGAGGTGGCAGAACTTCTCCCTGATGATAAAAGGAGATTTGGCAGCAGTTGCTGAGGCTGCAAGAAGAAAGGATGGGGAGGGGGGGTCGCGGGGAGGGCAGGTTGGGGGGGGACACAGGAGGTAGGAGCAGCTCTGCTTTCCTGCAGCCTTTCCGAAGGGTCAGGCTGATGCTGAGCAGGGGGGATGGCGAGCAGAGCCCCGGGCAGGGGACCAGGGACAACCTGCTCCATCTCAATCCCTGCCACCGAGTCCCCAGGGTCTGGGGTACCAAGCCCCCAGCTCCCGAGCTGTGTTTGGTGCCCACAGATGTGGAGGGGGCACCTCGAAGGGTTAAAACCAGTGCCTGTGGGTGGACAGAGAGGGGGTGATGGGCACAGGAAGCAGGACCCCCCCAGAGTTTATCCCACTTACCTTGTGTGTCCCCCTCAGGCTTTGGGCTGCTGTGGGGGTGAGGGCTGCACCCCCCTCCCTTCCTGCCAGCCCTGTTTGCTCTGCTCCCTGCCTGAATCAGTCCTGCAAAGTCCCCTTGAGTCCCCTGGACATCTCAGAGCTGCTGCCTGTCCCTGTCCCGCTGGGGATGTGGTCCTCGCCCACCCCCCTGGATGCTGCCCTTCATTTTGCTGCTCCTGCAGCCTCCTGTCCCCGTCCTGCCCTTGGCCAAGAGATGCCCAGCGCCTCCATTCGAGGTGGCAGAACTTCTCCCTGATGATAAAAGGAGATTTGGCAGCAGTTGCTGAGGCTGCAAGAAGAAAGGATGGGGAGGGGGGGTCGCGGGGAGGGCAGGTTGGGGGGGGACACAGGAGGTAGGAGCAGCTCTGCTTTCCTGCAGCCTTTCCGAAGGGTCAGGCTGATGCTGAGCAGGGGGGATGGTGAGCAGAGCCCCGGGCAGGGGACCAGGGACAACCTGCTCCATCTCAATCCCTGCCACCGAGTCCCCAGGGTCTGGGGTACCAAGCCCCCAGCTCCCGAGCAGTGTTTGGTGCCCACAGATGTGGAGGGGGCACCTCGAAGGGCTAAAACCAGTCCCTGTTGGTGGACAGAGAGGGGGTGATGGGCACGGGGAGGAGGACCTCCCCAGAATTTATCCCAGTCCATCTGGACAGGGTTCCTTTGCCATGGGTATGATGGCCATGGTGGTTTTGGTGGGCATGGGGCACTGCCAGATGGGCTCCGGGAGGGGGTCCCCAGCACGATGGGACCATGGTGACCCCCCACCTTGCTCTCCCACCCCCAGCCCAGTTCCCCAGCCTGCAGAGCAAGATGCGGGTGGTGCTGCGGGTGGAGGTGGAAGCCGTCAAGTTCCTCAAGGAGGAGCCGAACCGCCTCGATGGTCTCCTCAAACGCTGCAAGACGGTGACGGACACCCTGGCCCAGATCCGTAGGTGAGCCCCGAGCCCGGTCCCACAGCCCTCCAGCTCTCCTTGTCCCCAAATAATGCCATCTTCTAAACCCTTGAGAACCTCAGAGGACACACCTGGTCCCTTCAGTTGTCCCTGTGCCCCTCCTGTGTGTTGTGTCCTCTCTGTTGAAAAAAGATCTTGAAAAAAGGCTCATTTTTCTGCTAAGGAACTAAAAGATGCCCTCGGTCCTCTCCAGTGTGCATGTGGGAACCCCTCCTTCTAACCTGATTTTTCCTTATTCTTGGAAAAATTGTGGTTGTGTGTCCAGATATAAAGACAATCCGCGTCACGATGAGAAATCTCTTTCCTGAGGAGCAGAAAAATACGTTCTGCTGGAGAAAAATCTTCTTCAAGCTCTAAGGACAGCGGCAGAGCTGGAGGAGTCCACCTGCCTCTTCCCATTAGGAGACCTTTGGGGATGGATTACGGCTCGGCCACGCGGCTCCGGGCTCGCCTGGGGCTCCTTGCCAGCCTGATTTTCTACGGAAATGAGCTTGTATGATCAGGCAGCCTCTGAGTCTGCCTACCTGTCATTCCCTGCACTAATAACTCCTGAATCCAAAGGGCTCTTTCAGGCAGATCTGACGGAGGGGGCAGGATTTGGGAGAGATCCCATTTCCTTCGAGGTTCATGGGAACGGACAGCCAGGTTGAGGAGCTCCTTCGTGTGCTCCTCCAGGAGAGGCTGTAGCATCAACTTCAACCCCTTCCTAGACAGCATAGAATCACAGAATGGGTTGGAAGGGACCTTAAAGACCACCCAGTGTCACCTCCCACCGCACCAGGTTGCTCCAAGCCCCCTCCAACCTGCCCTTGAACCCCTCCAGGGATGGGGCAGCCACAGCTTCTCTGGGCAACCTGGGCCAGGCTCTCACCACCCTCAGAGGGAAAAATTCCTTCCTAAATCTCATCTCAATCTCCCCTCTTTCAGTGTCAAACCCTCCCCCTCCTCCCATGGCTCCCCTCCCTGATCCAGAGTCCCTCCCCATCTCTCCTGGAGCCCCTTGAGGGACTGGAAGGGGCTCTAAGGTCTCCCTGGAGCTTTCTCTTCTCCAGGCTGAACCCCCCAACTCTCTCAGCCTGTCCCCACAGCAGAGGTTCATCGGAGAACCTAAACCTTCAGCTGCATAATGCAGCGTTGCAGGAGAGCAGGATTTTTGTGGTGTGACCTGGGGAGGGTGCAGAACCCCCGCCCTGTGCCCTGCAGCCACCCAACACCTTCGCTCTGTCCCTGGCAGGCAAGTGGACGAGGGCGTGTGGACCTCCCCCAGCAACCTCAGCCAGTCCCCCAAGAAGGTGGCCCCCGAGACAGACTTCAGCAAAGGGCTGGATCTGGAGATGCCCACCAGCCCCCCAGTGAGCCTCCACCACCTGACGGCCGCCACCGAGACCCTGGGCATGCCCAGCTTCGGGCACAGCCCCCCCCAGACCCAGACCCACCCCTCCAAGAGCAATAACCCTTCCCGAGCTCCGGAGATGGTCCCCGCCAAGACCCAGACGGGACCAGAGACCCCCAGCAAGAAGAGTGCAGACAAAGCTGTATCTGTGGAGGTGAGAACGTGGGATGGGTTCCTCAGCTGGGGGGGGACTCTTTGGAGTGTCCATCCCTATGTCTCCAGCTGAAACTGGGAACAGGAACTGGGTTCATCCTCCTCCTTGGTGGGTTTGTAGCCGATGGGGTGTCTGGAGGGTGGGTGATGGCAGCCTTGGGAGCACATTGGGGGGTGTCCAGCTTGGGGAAAGGGCAGTGCTGGTCCCCCCCCCCAACTCCTCCTGGGCTCTACAGCAGGTTGGGGGGCAGCAATGGGTCACCTCCTTGGGGGGCAGTGGTGGGTCACCTCCTTGCCGTGTCCATGAAGGTTAGAGCAGGCTTTGCCTGGTGTCCGCAGGCCGCGGAGCGGGACTGGGAGGAGAAGCGGGCGGCGCTGACCCAGTACAGTGCCAAGGACATCAACCGCCTGCTGGAGGAGACCCAGGCCGAGCTGATGAAGGCCATCCCCGACCTGGAGTTCGCTGCCAAGCACAAGCAGGGCACGGGCAGCGGCAGCGCCGCCTCCACCCCCGAGCACAAGCCCTCCAAGCCACAACACGCACCCAAATCGGGGGGCAAAGGGGACCCCAACGGCCGCCGGGGCTCAGGTAGGGTTGTGGGGAGGGCAGGGGTCCACCTCCAGATCCCAGGGATGTGGGGGGAGGACCTGATCCTGTGTGTCATCGGTGGGTCTCGCTGGGCTGAGCAATGGTGCCCCAAAGGGAGGTGGGTGCCCGGGGAGAGTTTGGGGTGCTGGGTGAGGGGGGCAGGGAGAGTCTCCTGCCCTCACAGCGTCCTTTGTGTCCAGACGAACTGACGGTGCCGCGGTACCGGACCGAAAAACCCTCCAAATCGCCCCCACCTCCCCCCCCACGCCGGAGCTTCCCCTCCTCCCACGGGCTGACCACCACCCGCAGTGGCGAAGTCATCGTCACCAGCAAGAAGGAGCCCGGTTTTATGAAGGTAAGAGCCACAGTGGGGCTGCTGGGCTGGACTGGAGGGGGTCCCATCAGCAAGACCACCTCCCCGTGGCCCCCCCACCCCTCACTGCCCTGCTCCCCCCCTTTGCAGAAGGCCGAGTCGGAGGAGCTGGAGACCCAGAAGCCGCAGGTGAAGCTGAGAAGGACGGTGTCGGAGGTGGTGAGGCCAGCCTCCACCCCCCCCATCATCGCCTCCGCCATCAAGGATGATGATGATGAGGACCGCATCATCGCGGAGCTGGAGGTGAGCGTGGGAGGGGCTGCGGGATGCCCCAGCTTAACCCGCACTGGGGGGACTTGGGGGGGTTGATGGCCACCCTGCTCTGTCCTGGGGACAACCTTGGGACCAGGTCCTGGGAACGTCATCCCAAGCACCAGCACAGCGTTGAGTTTCCTCGCCTGTCTCCCAGGTGCCACGGGGATGGGCACCACGGGGCAGTTGCACCCTCCTGGACCCCTCAACGGGTCGGGGTCACCATCTCTTTTTATTGGGCTTTAAGCCAAAATCACTTGGATTTTAACGCTACGCAGCTTCAGCTGGAGGTTTGTTGGGTTTTGTGCACCTGAGGCTCTGACCCCCCCCCAGGCTGTCTGTCCCTCCATGTCCTCCCCTATTTGCTGCAGTCAAAGTGCCCAAGTGGGGTGTGGATGGTCTTTCCCACTGGTTTTCCCCCAGGAGACCAGTGATGTTGAAGGTGGGGTACCAGTGATGTTGAAGGTGGGGTACCAGTGATGCTGCATATGGGGGGACCAGTGATGCTGCAGGTGGGGGGACCAGTGATGCTGCAGGTGGGGGAACCACTGATGCTGCAGATGGGGTACCAGTGATGCTGCATATGGGGGGACCAGTGATGCTGCAGGTGGGGGAACCACTGATGCTGCAAATGGGGTACCACTGATGCTGCAGATGGGGGTACCACTGATGCTGCAGGTGGGGGGCCTGGCGATCCTGCCGGCAGCAGAGAGACGGAGATGCCTCCACAGCTGCTGAGAACAGCCAATATTTTCCTCCCTGCCAACAATTGCCCGATCCTGGTCCTGGCTGGCCCTGGCAAGCATCCCTGCAGGCACGGGCTGCGTCGTCGTTACCCCCAAGCCTCCCTCCTCCAACCCCCCCCCCGTGTTTGACTCCCCAGGTGTTTCAGAGAAGCTCTGCCTCCCCTTTCCTTCCCAAGCTCCGTTACGACCCGCTCTCCCCTGGGCACGCAGCCTTGTGGCCCAACGGAGCCTGCGTTGCAGCCGAAGGATGGAAGGTAACGGCTCGCCCCCGAGCGACGATCCCTTCTCCTGCTGACGGGCTGCACTTTAACCACCTCCTTTCCCCACTTCTTCTCCACTCACTTCTGCTTCTCTCTCCGGTTTAACAAACTAATGGCTTCTCTCCACTCCCTCCCTCACCGCCGCCGCGCGTCCGGCACTGACACGGCACAAGACCCAGCACTAACCCACCTCTCAGCCACCCGGGGCTACTGTGGCTTCCAGGAGGGTCAGATCCTTCAGGCAGGAGGATGGGAGGAAGGAAGGGACCCCTCCAGCACCGCACCGGGCAGGGCATGGGGAGGGCTGGCTGCTCTCACTGGTGTCACTGGGAGGGGACCGTGGTGGGCGATGCATGTGAGACCCTGCTCCATGTGCATGATGCGGGCGGAAGGTGAGGGGCTGGACAGGGGTTGGTGGCTACTGGGACACACTTGGTCCCATCACCCCTCCTGGAGGCTGAGGGGGCACAACCTGGCTCTTTCCCAGCTCTCCTGCCTTCCATCCTGCCCTGGACTCCGGGATGGAGGGAGAAGGAGGAAAGGAAGGTGCCCAGAGAGGGGATGGGATGGAGCAGGAGATGGCTGGGGTGGAGGAGCAGAGGGGCAGAGGGTGCCATTGAGCCCCTCATTGGAAAGCATTGAGTGGGGGGAGCTCTGCCTCATCCAGGGCAGCCCAGCTGCTGGTGGGGGTCTGGGTACATTGCAGGGGTCCCACTGGGTCCCTTCCCTCTCCTGGGAGACCCAGCCCCAGGGCTGAATCCAGCCTGGCTGTCCCAGAGGAGCATCTCCTGTCCCTGCAGATGGGTCCAGCTCTGGACCCAGAGCTCCGTAGCCATCCCAGCACTTGTGTCTCACCCCCTCTCTACCCTGGTGCTACTCAGACCCCCAGGGCTGGGGCACGAGTGAGACATGCTGAGGCAGGACACATGTCCCCCCTGCCCCTCCTGGGCCACCCAACAGCGTGGCATAACCAAGGGGGCACCTCTTCTGCCAGAGCATCCCTCCCGCTCACCTTCCCTCCTCTTCCGTTGGAGGAAGGACGGCGTTTTCCAGGTGACTTCTTGCTACTCAGGGTTTTAAAGTTCTGGTGCCCCTTTGGCAGCTCCTTTGTGATGGCTCATCCCCTGCTCCGCTGGGAGCAGCGGTGTCCTGTGGGGCTGAGCAGCCCACTCCTGCCCCAGTGCTGTGCCAGTTCACCCCAGTATGGGAGAAATCCCAGCCCACCTCTTCTGCCAGAGCATCCCTCCCGCTCACCTTCCCTCCTCTTCCGTTGGAGGAAGGACGGCGTTTTCCAGGTGACTTCTTGCTACTCAGGGTTTTAAAGTTCTGGGGCCCCTTTGGCAGCTCCTTTGCCATGGCTCATCCCCTGCTCTGCTGGGAGCAGCGGTGTCCTGTGGGGCCGAGCAGCCCACTCTTGCCCCAGTGCTGTGCCAGTTTACCCCAGTATGGGAGAAATCCCAGCTGGACTGTGTCAGTTGGGTTTCCAAAGGCATTCGGGAGGTGCAGCAGCACCAGCTCTTTTTTTCCTAAAGACTTCAGGCAAATTATTGCCAAAATCTTCCAGAGCCAGGTTGCCTTAAGGTTGCCCTGTCTGTGCAGTGGGTACCGATGGGATGTCAGGGCTGGGCAGGAGGGAGCTGAGCATCTCCCTTCCTGGCCCAACACCTCCCTGCAGCGTCCTGGTGCCCGGAGGCTCCAGGAACGGGGTGTGTGGACACGTAGGGCTCCCCGGCAGCTCCTCGCATCCCCCCACCGCTCTCCTCACCCCCGGCTCTTAATCTGTCTGAATTCTCTACCTAGGAGCCGCTGGCCCTGGCCGCCCCGGGGAGCAGGGCTTTCTCCCTCCCGCAGATTGTCCTCACCGAGTGGGTGTCCGAACCGCCGTCCCCCGACGCCGAAGCGGAGGTGTGGGTGGAAAAGGGGTGCTCGGAGCACAGGGACCCAACAGGAGGGGAGCTCACACCCGAGAGGGGAAGGAAATGCCACGTGTCTCCTGGCAGCCCCAAAAAGTCTCTGTCAGCGGCTGGGTACCCCCCAGGCTCAGCCCCACAGCCCCCTAACAGCCCACCTCGGGGCCGTGCCCGTGCAGCAGGAGAGACTTGGAGGTTCCCTTTATCATCCAGCAAGGTCCCAGCTTTCTCAAAGCAGAAAAGGAGCTGCCCCGTGGGGGGAGAAGGAGGGGACGCTGCTCTGAACGCTGCCAGCGGGCAAGAAGGCAGCAGCAAGACTTCTCACCGAGGTCCCCCGGCCCCACAGCCTCCGCGTCCCCGGGGGGAGCCAAGGGGTCCTGGCGTTGGTGAGATGATGCTCCCCTCCACCAGTGCCACCCCACGGCTTCCTGGTGCTGGGGACCCCCGAGGAGGAGCCGGGCAGAGCGTGGGGGAGGCGTCTCTCCCTCCTGGAGACTCTTCTGGGGTTTGCCAACAAGCGCGGAGGGAGAGCAGCTCGCCCACCCCAGTTTGCCCAGTGCCAAGTCCCAGGTCTTTGCTGGGAAGGGGTCCAGCCCCGCGGGGAAGGGGACAGTCCCAGGCTGAGCATCCCCAGGAGCAGGTCACCTCAAAGCCAGACCACAGTGTGGCATCTCCAGGCCAGGGTGACCTTGCCAGGGCTGCCAGGGATGAAGGCATTGCGGAGGACAGCGGGGGGAAGGTGGCAGAGGGGCTCGGCAAAGGGCAGTTGTCCCCTCGCGACTCCATGACTCCACGCAGCAAGGAGATCTGTGAAGGCACGTACCAGAGACTGGACAGCCTGGAAGAAACCATCCGTGAGCTGGAAATAACCATCAGTGAGATCAGCAGCCACCCCTCGGCTGAATTTGTGTTCCCGAAAGAGCTACTAGGACAAGCGGGATCCAAGGATGCTGGTGAGAAGACCAGGGAAGCTCTGGGAGATCTCAGACACGGTAGCTGTGATGATGGGACTGTCCTGGACCTCAGTCAGGCCAAAAAGGATGCTCCTGAGAGCCCATCTCCAAGCAAGAGCAAGCCAGCTCTGCTCCCCAAGCCGCAGCTCCCCCTCGACACGCCCCAGGTTTATTTTCTCTTATCCCTCTTGCCGTGCTCTGCCCCGGATTCACTCTGATGTCTCTCTTCCTCCACCTCTACCTGCTCCCTCTCTGTGACTCTACCTCCAGGCAGAGCCGAGGTGGAAAACCAACCTCCTTTTTCTCCCCCACACCCCCCATCACTGGGATGGGGGTTTGGGAAGCACCGGCAGCAGGGGGGCAGGGGGGGCTGCCTTCTGCCCCTCGCTGGTGCCGCTGCTGCCTGGTGCCCATCCCTTGCACCGGGTTAGACCCTGGCATCATCTGCCCCAGCAGTTTCTGGGGGGCTGAGCACGCTGCTCGGTGGGTCGTGGGGCCGGCACGGCAGGGGGGCAGGGGGGGCTGCCTTCTGCCCCTCGCTGGTGCCGCTGCTGCCTGGTGCCCATCCCTTGCACCGGGTTAGACCCTGGCATCATCTGCCCCAGCAGTTTCTGGGGGGCTGAGCACGCTGCTTGGTGGGTCGTGGGGCCGGCGAGGAGCATCCCAAGGAGCAGGTCACCTCAAAGCCAAGCCATGTGTGGGGCTGGCGAGGAGCATCCCGTGGGGCTGGTGAGGAGCACCCTGTGGGGCTGGCGAGGAGCATCCCCAGGAGGAGGTCACCTCAAAGCCAAGCCACGTGTGGGGCTGGCGAGGAGGATCCTGTGGGGCTGGTGAGGAGCATCCCCAGGAGCAGGTCACCTCAAAGCCAAGCCACGTGTGGGGCTGGCGAGGAGCATCCCATGGGACCACCGAGGAGCATCCTGAGGGCTGGGCACGTTGGGTGAGGACATGTTGCTCCTCCTCCCCGTGCCATTTGGCATAAGAACCCCTCTAACGAAGCGCAGGCTGAGCGTGGCTGCAAAGCAGCAGCTGCTTCTCCTAATTAAATCACAGCGCGGGCTCCCCGAAGCCATCCAAATTGGTTTCTGCTGGAATCCACGGCAGCTGAATAGCTGGGAAAAGAAGGGGAGGAGTGGGGGGGGGAAAGGCCCTCAGCCACCCCGACGTCAGCCTGCTCCTTTATTAACAGGCAGCGCTGGGGAATAAATCTCCTTTTTTTCATTTGCAGTAATTATCGCAGCCCCGGGTCTCAGTGAGGGCCCCATCCTCGTCGCGGGGCTCTCGCCGGGCGAGTGGGCCATGGAGTGGGTGTAGCTGTAATTTCTCCCGTTGTGGGTTCCCCCCCCTGCACCCCCAGAGCCTGGCAAACTAAGGAGGGGAGCTGCGGGATGGATTTATGGCCGATTATGGCGGGGGAAAAAGGGCAGGTCCCGTCCCACCTTTGGAGGATGCTGCGAGTTGGTTGCAAAGGATGGGACCCAGTGCCTGCTGGTTCCTGGGGACGCTGGGTCTCTGGGGAAGGTGTGGTGTGGGCAGGAATTGGGTTTACCTTGTGCTGTGGGCTCCAGGAGTCCCCGTGTCCCCTCCGTGGGTGGTGGAGGGGGACTGGGTCTGCACTGATTTACCAGCCTCTCCCGTCGGGGGTGCGATGGGGCAGCAGTTTCTTATCCCTGCCAGTTTCCCCACCAGCATCAGCCACTCCAGGCCAGGCAGGAGGCAGGGGGGAGAGGGTCTGGGGTACCCCAGGAGCTGTGACCCCCAGCTTTAGGGACCTGCGGTGCCGGGGGAGGTGTGGGGAGGCACCGCTCCCCTCGCTGCCCCTCTCGCCAGTCTCTGTATCTCCATCCTAGTTAATAAAATCCTCTGTATTCCCTCTGCCGCCGTTTCCACCTGGATTCTGCTTCTGCCGTCGCCTCTTTTCCTTTCTCTTGGCCGTGTCCCCCTTCCCTGCCCTGGCAGGGGGGTGCTCCCCCCCCTGCCCCCCGTCTCCCAGTGTCTGCCCCCGACTCCCTGTTTGTGTGGCAGCGCTGGCTGTCGGGGGGTCCCGGCTGGTTTCTGAGTTGGCCAAGGGGCTGCCCGGTGAGGGCTCCTTTGGCACGTGGAGCTGGTGGCCTCCTCCTTGCCTGGGTTTGCCCCCCACGGTGGTACCACAGGGGCTCGGCACAGCTCCGGTGTTGAGGGTGCCGGTGGGGGTTTTCACGGCTGGTTTTAACCCCTTTCTCCCCTCCCCACCCCAATTCTGTGTCCCCGGCAGAGCGGTGGCGTTTCCATCCCAGCCATGAAGGTGGTGAACCCGGCGTCCCGGCTGAAGCAGAGCCAGCAGGGCAGCCCCGACAAAAGCAAGCACATAAAGCAGCGGATGGAGTACATGCGGATCCAGGGCCAGCAGCAGGTACTCTATCTCTAACACCAGCCCCACCAGCCCTCCTGGCAACTGGGACAAGCCACAGGTTGGCCACGGCCACGGCATCTCCCCCTCTGGCTTCTATGTGGCCGGGGTGTGGGTGCTGGGCAGGGGAGACCCTGCGGGTGCTGCTTTTTGGGGACTCTCGGTGTCTCCCTTCGCCTTGAGTAGGGCTGGGGGCGCGGGGACCCGGCTGTTGGGGTGCAGGAGGGGCTCTCACCCCCCCCTCCGTGGTGATTTCCATAGCTGGCTGCTGGGAACGGGGACATGGCTTTGTGCTGAGAACGGCAAACTCGTTACAAGGGTGGTGTGAAGCCAGAGTCATTTGTCCCCCAGCCCCGATGGACAGGGCTGAGCCCCAGCGTTGGTCCCCTCACCCTGAGGGACACCAAGAGCGTTTTTGGGAGGGAGGTGGGCTCTGCAGAGCCATGGGCTGGGCACGGGGGCTCCGAGGGGCTCCGTTTACCCAGGGTGGGGGCTGCCTGACCCCTCCCGGGAGGTTTTGGGGAGTCAGGACCCTCCGTGCACCGTGATGCCATGTCCACAGAAGCAGCTTGTCACGGGCAGGGTGGTGGTACTGGGGTACCCAGCAGGGTGGGGGGGCCACAGCAGCTGGAAGAGGAGCATTTTGGGGTGGGATGGGATGGTGTGTGTGTCCCCCCCAGCCCAGCACCCAGCCCCAGGGTGGTGGGGCTGGCTCCCCTCTGTCCTCGCTGTCACCCCGGTGCTGGCGGTGGCTCTGTGGCTTGCTCAGCCCAGGGGCAAGGTAGCCACAGCCAGTTTGTTGCCCTCCACCCCCCCACCCCCCCATCACCT